TCAGCTAATAGATGTCTAGAAAAATATTGGATAATTCAAAAGAGCTTTAACAATTGAGCTATTAACGGGATTGTTACCATGTACCTGTTTTTTATGAGTCTCCGATATTTAACAATCCCGTTAATAGCTATAATGTTAGTGACCATGAAAGTTTAAAACGAGCTATAACAAGTCAATTTGAATAAAGTAGGCTTAATTTTAACCCATATAGACCTACCGTACCTTATATGGTACAGTAACTTTCTTAAATAATTGCGTCGTACCTGAGGGTAGATTTGATTTTATTATTTATGCGAATGAACGAAGACTATATAAGGCTTTAGTTTATAATAGACAAAAACGTATTTAGTTTCAGTATTTTTAAGTTTTCATTGGGGTTTGTCGGAAAAACAATAGAAATAATCTACTATGGTTTCGAAAAGGTAAGTTCCACAATATTTATAATTGATTATATTATTTTAGTTTTTTTGTGAAGTTTAGAGTGTAAATAAATGTTTGAAGAACAAAAATGTTTTACAATTTATTTATATCAGATATATTTAATAAATCAATTAGGTGTACCATATGCGGTACAATAGGTTTATGCATAAGCAAAATAAACGGCAGCCATATGTTTTTAGATTTTTGTGTTTCATGGTTTTAGGTCATTGACGATTTACGATATTGCTTCAAATCTTGAGGAAGGTGATGGTTTTTACGACCAGGGTCAAGATATTGACATTTTTTACTGCCGCCTGATGACCTTTAGTCTTCATCAGTCTGGTCACCGCCAACGATGATCAGACTGATGAAGACTCTGGCAAAGAAGATGTCGGTAGACATAAACAATTTGCCTCCAAGTTTACTTCGAGCACCAGCAGTACCTACTGCTTTTAGAGAAGAATCGGACGAACCATGTGAATCTCAAGAACCCTTGTAAAAATGTGTAAAACCATATAATTGGAGAAAAAGAGGCTTATAATCTAAAGCCATTACTGAGCTACCAGTTTATCATTTTCCAATAGAAAGAAGTCCGATAGAATGGTTTACCTTGCTCTTTTCTGATGAGTTGCTGACGACAGAAAACAAATAAGTATTTAGAACAAAACTTCTTTCTGCTGACGTCAAGACGGAAAAAATGAAAGGTTTAATTGGAATTCTGTTAGTGGCTACTCAGCAGTCAAGTCAGCAGAAAAATATGCTTAGAGAAAATAACAAAAAAAAATTCTGTGTCTCAGCTACATCTCATTTACCAAAAAACAAAAACTGGGGGGGGGGGGGGGGGGGCGAAAGTGCAGGCGATTAATATCGATACCCATGTCTTCCGTCTTCATTACAAATTGACGGTGATTGTTCTTCTGGTGTTTTCGCTGCTGATCACCTGGAGGCCGTTCTTCGGAGATCCTATGGAGTGTTACTTCCCAGACTTCCCTACCATGTCCCTGAACACCTACTGTTACATCCATTCCACGTTTCTTGTCGTTCCATTGGAGAAAAAGCCAGTGCCTCAAAAGTTACCATATCTTGGAGTTGCCGCGCAGACGGAGAAAGACACCGTAAAGTTCTACGACTACTACCAGTGGGTCTTCGTCGTATTGGTTGCACAAGCAGTACTCTTCTACTTGCCGCATTATATATGGAAAGTATGGGATGGACTAATGAAAATGTTAGCGGTGACCTGTCATCTCCAATGATAAGCGCAGATCGCGTCAACAAAAATACGGACGTATTGTTAGAATATTTCCAAAAGCAGCTGCATTTGCACAACAGTTATGCCTTTAAATATTTTTCATGTGAACTGTTGAATTTGATAAACATCGTATTTCAAATATTATTTATGAATATGTTCCTTGGCAACGAGTTCCAATACTATGGACTTTATGTTTTAGCTGTCAACTGGAAGGAAAGACTTCGAGAAGAGATGACAAACCCTATGCAATGGCTGTTTCCTACTGTGACCAAGTGTACTTTTAAGAAATACGGTCCCTCTGGATCTGTAGAACTAAGAGACGGACTGTGCGTTCTTACACAGAATTCAGTTAATCAGAAAATGTATGTGTTTTTGTGGTTCTGGTTCCACATCTTAGCTGCTATAAGTGCATTCGTTATTATGTATCGTATATTTACATTAGTTTTTCCTTCAGTCAGATTGCGCAGCTTCCGGTCTACGTGCAGTCTGAATAGTGCTAGAGACATTAACGTAGTGTTTGACAAGCTATGGATAGGGGATTGGTTTTTGCTATGCATGTTGCAACGGAATATTAATTGTGTAGCCTACAAGGAGCTTATATTCCGTATAGCACGGAGTTGCGACTCCAACATTTGTTCAATATGTTTAGAAGGTATTTCCAGAGAAATAACAAACTTTGTCAGTTACAACTCTATCAAGCACAGTTTCAATTGTTTACATCTCTATCAGAGCAACTGTATCATTAAAATTTCTTGTATTTACAACTTTTAATAAAATCCTAAAACTAAATACTTGTGTTTAGTCACGTGGTCTATTTTTGTTTTTTTAGAAAAGTTCTGAATGATGGAGATAATTTAAAGAGAGGCTCATCCTCTGTTATTTTCTGGTTTTGCGGTCGCTTCTTTTTCTCGGCTTTCTTCAGAGCTCCTTTCACGGATGGAGGTAATTTATATCGAGGCTTGTGTTTCATAACCTATTTACGACTTGAGTGTGTGTGTGTGTGTGTGAGTTCCAAATTAGGTAATCTAATTTTTAATAGACTGATGTAGGTTTAATTTATTTACAAATAGCTATTTGAACATTACATCGCTTACAGAATTCCATTATTATGTCATGGGTGTTTCATTGCGATATGGGAGCCATAAATATAAATTTTCCTCAATTAAATAAAACTAAATAAACAATAACTTAGGTATAGTTCAAACAGTTTCATTTTGAATAATACAAAGTAACTAATTATATACAATATAATTTTAAGGTAGAAGTATACTATTTGTGGCCACTTAAAATTTAAGTCAATATATATAGAAAGTTATAATAGTGATTTGGATATAAAGTGCCCAAAAACGGTACTTTTACCCTACTACTTAAAGTAAAGAGATCTTTTTACAGCCAGTACTTATAAACAACTTAACAAAAACTTAGCGATACATCATTTAGCTAAATTCTTAATAAATGAGACAGCTTTTTGGACGGACGATGTCTTTGTAACGTCTTTCACTTTGATTGAGTCTAAATACACTTTTATTGCTTCATAACAGAAATAGTATTGCGAAGGGTTGAAAAGACAATGAAACCGTTGTTCGCGAATATGGGATACTATGGATGGGATAGAAATTTTTTGGGTAGAGTTAAATTTTGAAATAGTAATGTCCACTGTACAGTAACACGGGGTTCTTCCTAACCCCGCGTTGCAATGCACGACGATTGGCGGTGGTTGGGAACGATTATGGCCATTCTTGAGCGATTCTTCATAAAGATGTTTGTCATTTCGCTTCACCTCCAGAACGAAGTCTAAAAACTGTGATATATCTGAAGGCAAACCATGGTCGGGCCATGGTCGGGCCATGCCATATAGTTATAGTGCGTCACTATTTGACTGGCATCGGTTCAGTCTGTTAAGAGCAATGTCGTCTTAACGTAATGAGGGAAACGTTCGATTTTAGTAGTAGTCACCTTAAACTTTTGGAAGTTCAACGACGATTGTTCCTCCTCACTCCAGTAGGGAAAACATTTTTCTTTGCCCCCTTCTATTCTATGCAAATCCCATAGTTCGCACCCCGATTCTTTTCATTTGGCAAAACCACTCTGGAGTGATCAAAACAAACACAATGGCCGAATCGATTCAAGCACGAGTTGTTTTCGCTGGCTTCAAAGGTTCCGGAGATCTTCTCGCTGATAACTTGTTTATGCTCGGTTTTGATTACTTCTTCGCGGTCCCTGCATTCCATTAGCGCCATGAAGTCAGCGTATTTCAGATCCTTATAGGGCGTAGCCATGGTGATCGTCAAATATACAAGTCCAATTATTATAAATAAATCAAGTTGACACGTCCTTCACTCACGAGTTGTTCAGTAATTACTGAATGTGTAGCCATACATATGGGCTTTAATAATATTTTGTGCTAGGTATTATAAAAAATATTAGTTGCTATCAACTACTTAAATAAAAGATTAACCGCAACAGTAACTATACTACCATTAAACGCCTAATTAAATCACGTCATCTCTGTTTTAAATTACGATAACGTTCAATATGTGGTTTACGACGTAAATAATTAATAATTGTAAATAACTGTTGGAGAATCCGTTGTGGGTATTTCCTGACCTTTTATCGCAATTGGAAAAACATATTAATAATATACATTAGGTTCCCGATAATGAGATAGTATAAATATCGCTCTCACTATTGAACTGTGTCAGTCATATAAAATAGTTTTAAAAAGGCGGTAAACAGTACTTATTTAAAACAATAACTTTCAGAACAAGTATGGAATCCGATAAGTTGTTTGAAATGTTAAGCACCAGGAATAATTTGGGAGAAAACTTTTTCCACGAGGCATGTCGAGCAAGATCAATAGCGCTTCTTCAGAGAGCGGCAGAATGGGTAGATCAACACCAATTCCAACGATCTTGGCTACAAAAAACAATGATGGTGAACAGTGTACCCATAAAATTGTTAAATGCAAAGAATATTATGCAGCTGACATGATGAAAATCGTCATGTATCTTGGGGCTGACATCAACGGCCGAGAAGGACTTGGTGGATTCACTCCGCTTCATTTGTGTGTCTGGGAGAAAAATTATAAACTTGCCGAATGGTTGTGCAAAGTACCAGGCATCAATCTAGAAGCCGAAAATTATGCTGGACAAACAACATATGATTTAGCCTATGAAAGAAACGACTATGAAATGATGAAAATAATTTTGGAAAACTCTATTGAAGCCAAGTCTGATCCATCAAGTGTAAAAGACAGTTAAACGTCGGTAAACAGTACTTATTTAAAACAATAACTTTCAGAACAAGTATAGAATCCGATAAGTTGTTTGAAATGTTAAGCACCAGGAATAATTTGGGAGAAAACTTTTTCCACGAGGCATGTCGAGCAAGATCAATAGCGCTTCTTCAGAGAGCGGCAGAATGGGTAGATCAACCAATTCCAACGATCTTGGCTACAAAAAACAATGATGGTGAACAGTGTACCCATATAATTGTTAAATGCAAAGAATATTATGCAGCTGACATGATGAAAATCGTCATGTATCTTGGGGCTGACATCAACGGCCGAGAAGGACTTGGTGGATTCACTCCGCTTCATTTGTGTGTCTGGGAGAAAAATTATAAACGTGCCGAATGGTTGTGCAAAGTACCAGGCATCAATCTAGAAGCCGAAAATTATGCTGGACAAACAACATATGATTTAGCCTATGAAAGAAACGACTATGAAATGATGAAAATAATTTTGGAAAAGTCTATTGAAGCCAAGTCTGATCCACCAAGTGTAAAAGACAGTAAAACGTCGGTAAACAGTACTTATTTAAAACAATAACTTTCAGAACAAGTATGGAATCCGATAAGTTGTTTGAAATGTTAAGTACCAGGAATAATTTGGGAGAAAACTTTTTCCACGAGGCATGTCGAGCAAGATCAATAGCGCTTTTTAAGAGAGCGGCAGAATGGGTAGATCAACCAATTCCAACGATCTTGGCTACAAAAAACAATGATGGTGAACAGTGTACCCATATAATTGTTAAATGCAAAGAATATTATGCAGCTGACATGATGAAAATCGTCATGTATCTTGGGGCTGACATCAACGGCCGAGAAGGACTTGGTGGATTCACTCCGCTTCATTTATGTGTCTGGGAGAAAAATTATAAACTTGCTGAATGGTTGTGCAAAGTACCAGGCATCAATCTAGAAGCCGAAAATTATGCTGGACAAACAACATATGATTTAGCCTATGAAAGAAACGACTATGAAATGATGAAAATAATTTTGGAAAAGTCTATTGAAGCCAAGTCTGATCCACCAAGTGTAAAAGACAGTAAAACAAGTAGTGATTATAAAAGTTTTAATTAAAAGCTTAGTGGAGAAGCTAAATGTTTAAATGTTGATTTATAACAATTTGTATTTAGAAATAAGTTAATCTAGACATCTAGATTTAAATGCTTTGTTGATTTGGTCAGCACGCCACAGGTTGTAAATCTGTGGTGGAGATCTGATCTCACTTGACTCTTCTCTCTGGGGAATATTATGGCACTATACCCGTGATTTGGTCACTAAAACTGAGTTGCTGAACTTTGCTGATCAGAACTGAATAAATCTCAACTCTTTCAACTATGATTAGCCCTCAAAACTCTCTATAAACTCTTAAACGAAAAGGGAACGCTTTGTACTCTCGAACGACTACAATGCAACTGCCATGACGTTAGCCAAGGCGCTTAGGTACAATTTCACGCCGCTCGAAGCGCTGCTGCCACGTTGAGGCGTGAGATTAGTGCTCTAGTGAAGTGGCTCTAAATTTAAATGATGGTATTTGATCATGTTGATCAAACACTATTGAAAAATATAGAAATAAGTTCTATTAAAAAGCATCGAATTTAATCGGACTTAACCTCGGCTAAGTTAATCGGTTTCAAATTTAAAAAATGGGTCTGGACGCACTTTGCGCCCACACGACGAACTTCCCATTATTCTCTTTTCATGAATAACATTATTTTGTCAAAAACATCCAAGTCCATGGGATAGATGCATTAGTTAATCGATAAATACAATTTTCAATTGTTTATAACAAATTCACATTGTTATAAACAATTTGTATTCGTTAAAAGTCATATTTGGTTGTGAACAATAATCTCTTGTCAATGTCGACTCAACTTTTGAATGAAATTGTTATCCTTTTGCTTAAAAGTATTTAAAATAGTTAACCTTTTCATTTATTCATTATCAGTTTTTTTGTTATAAAAAAAAACGGCTCCATCGAATTTGTTCAAACTTCTTTCAGATCTTCTTTATAACAATATCTTTCGAATAAATTTTGGTTGAAGTCGATATCTCGATCCGTTCTTGAGATATCGAAAACGAAAAAAATGCTGACATCCATACGTACACACACACATCATTCTAAAAATTGGCCAGTATGCTTGCAAATATCTTGAAACGTGAAGATATGATGGAAATTCACATTTCACCAATCGACCCAATTACAATAACTTCCTAATGGGAAGTTAATAACATCCTTTCACGTTTAAAATCTCTTTCAGATGATTTCGTTGACAAAGCTTGTTGCGAACACCCTAATCAACGGTTGACTGGTTCTCAACAATCAAATTTTGTATAATCTTGAATAAATCGTCTTTGAACGTTAAGCGTCTACTGAGCTATTTTATTTCAATTTTACTCTCGATTAAATGTTTTCTGCAATTCGGAGAACTTCTAGCTCAAAGTTTGATGCATCTGTGACTATTCTGATATATTTGAATAGAATATAATTAAGGTGAAAATAAATGTAGCATTTTTGATAATCTTGAAGGACAGGGCTTGAAATGTTAAATTCCGAAAACATCAACAGGATTTTCCCGGACTTTAAGCCTTTGATAGTCGACAGAATAATTTAGATGTCTGGGAATAAACAATAGAAGTAACCTGTCCAAGAGGGATTTATCTGAAATACAAAAGAAACGTCTGTTTACAAAGAAGGACTTGGAAGCTGAGCCCTGCGTCAGAAAGTTCCAATAAAATGTCATGTATAACATTTCTATTTTCATTAAAACTCTGTTTCACTTAAATAAAAACAATCTTTTCGCCACCTTTTTGACATTCAGAAAACTTTATTTTTTTTGTTACAATGAAGATAAGTTTTTATTGGCCTGAAGATTTGTTCTCAGTATTTAAAGGAAATTGCTTGCTATCTTTAATTTACCACATTTATTTTCATGCTCTTGTTTTTTCGTACTCTATCAGACCTTTTCACAAACATGGAACCATTGTTTGGTCTATGAACTTGACGAATGCAATAAAAAGGTTACAATTAATTGGTTAAATGACCCTACTGTAGGATCATAAAACAAATTGCATGCAAATTTTAAAACTTTTTAAGTAGCATTCTGCCCACTCCTAAGTACATGACCTGAAGTGAAAACCCTAGAGCTTTACCTAATTAATTAACAAGAATGCAAGTGGATAATAAATTCGTCTACTGAGATAGTAGATTGATTACTTTGATAACTTGTGCACAAAGTAAACGATAAATAGTTAGCAACTAACTATTCTAGATAGCTATGAAATATGGCTAATTATGGGCCTGATTATGTGTTATTATAGACGATTGTATTAGAGTATTTTCGCATCGGTCTTGACCTATCCTCCTACCTCTTTCCCTGCGGTCAACCACCTGTTGCTCACTAGGGACCTTGATATGATTCTATTTCCTAAATCTGAATTCACCCTGAATTCTCGTAAATACATGTCATAACGGTTTGTATCTTGTGAAGATAAAAATTAACTGAAATTGGGTAGAATTCTTTATTTATATCACCTTGTAAATATTGAAATTCCCTGAAGAATAACAAATTATTTTGTTGACGTGAGATAAGATACTATTCCGACAGTGACATCATTGAAGTAAAACACTTATCACAATAGCTGAAAATCCCAGCTAATAGCAATAAATCTGTTTATGTTTATGACTTCTCCAGAGGTAATTAATTTAATAAGTGGAACTAAAATTTACGACAAAACTATGCGTTTTATATCCTTTAGAATCATTAATGCTAATTTCTAAGTAACTATGGACAGGTATGCGTGGAGATATGCGGATGGTTACTTTTATGAATAAAGTAATTGAAGAGAGTTTATTGCTGTGATCGCATTAAATTTACATATTTTTCATGTAGAAAACAGGGTTAGGTCAGTATCGTACGACACCATAACGATTTATAGGAATACATTAGAGCTGATAGAACTTCAGGGATAATAAAAAGTTAGTATCCTAATAATAAAATAAGTAAGTACGTCAGTGTCACGCAATAAGCAGCGTTTAATAAATACAAAACCTCCTATAAAAGTAATGGACCTAAAATTTTCGTAATCATTCCAGTTTTCACTTTCGAACAGAAAACAACAATGACTATCCCACCGAACATAAAGTATCGAAGTGTGGCGTTAAATATGTCGCAGAACCCGAGAAGCAATAAAGTACAAATACTAATCATTATAATTTTGTGCTGTATTCTAATAGTACAGCTTGTGCTGCTATGGTATGTTTTCATTGTTTTCCTCCAGTTATAAATAATAAAATGTTGTTTTCCGTCAAATATGTCATAAAACTTGGAAATAGGCTTACCAGATCTTCTCTTAGTCGAGTAGCTTTGCTCCGAGTACTGATCTTTAAAGTGATGTCCTTTGTTACAGGTTGGAAATCACACATTAACCCGGCGATGGTTATGTGGTCACGAGGTCATGTGAGGTTTTCAATTTCCCAGGAGATGATGATAAAGAAGAAGAAGAAGAAGAAAATTTTAATTTCATCTTCATCATCTTTATTGATATTTTCGAACTTCAAGTTTTTGAAGAATTTAAATGTACATTTAATATTAATTTTAATTGTAACAAAAGTACAGCTACTAAATAAAAATTTACTTAAATTATATTTACTTGACTTATTTCTATTTACAATCTATCTATCAATCAATTTATTTACAATCTATTATCGAATGAAATTAAATGAATTTATTATGTATATTTATAATAAATATATTCAATACAATGTATTAAATAATAAATAATACAAATTATTTATTGTTGATAGTATTTTAATGATTTAGTAACTATATACAAGGTATTATTCACCGAGATTCACGGTTGACCTTGTATTACAGTATATATGCCTGAACGCTGGGTGCTCTCCGCTCTCTATCTCAAAAAGGGTTGTGCGTACCGAAAAAAAGTTGAGACAAAAGTTGTGGCAAATTTTTTTATCTTCAATTTTCATAATAGGTGTTGAAGTGATTGGAACAATAGAAACGGAAATAATTGCAAAAAAATCGATTTCGTGACCTTTGATCTCGAATAACTTACGACGCAGACACGAGATAATATGAGACTTTTGAGACAACTTTTAGAACACCAAAATGAAGTATACGAGTTTCCAGCTTATTATCTCAAATTCCGAGGTGAAACCCTAAAGTGACTGGACTACTTCACGGTTATTCACTGTACATTTCCTTCATAAGTTTGTCATCCAAGTGCAAGATGACAAACTTCTCAGGCCCCTGAAACAAAAATTAGTGTAAAAATCTCATTTTGCCAAAGAGTGTAGAGATTGTTTATGACTTTCTTTTTCCCTAGTAGGGTATGCCAGCCTTGCCAGTAAATGAAGTTATCATCCAGTTATGGCTGAGTACAGAACCATTGCTGGATGATAACTTCCTGTCAGTCCCAATACTGGCCCAATAATGGTCCTGTTGTATGTTCCTACTAGGGTTGTTTGACTAATTGTAATTATAAACACCAATGCGAAAAGTTGAAATTTGGAATGACGTAGGCTGTTTCAGTCTGAATTAGTAGTCTAAACAATTCAGTTCCTTGTCGGACATTATACAGCCTAAACAATTGATAAATTTATTATTTTTATATTTATATTGAATAATTGGTTGGCTGTATTAATTTAAGACCAATTCCATGTTTAACAAAGGTTATAAGTTATAGAAATGAAATTTATTTATAATTAAATAATCATGGACATGCGTTGCGATTCTGTGCTAACATGAACTATTTATGTGAAGGAAAGTTTAAAGTTCGGATTTCTGAACGCAATTTAAAGTGACATTGGGGTTGACATTCGAGGTTATCAACCTTCTATTTGTTATTGTTTACAAGGATTTGCTCAGTGCTACAAAAAAAGGTGTTACAAGTATAAAGAAGATCCCTCTATGATTGAGGTTGTTTTTCATGTGCCACTTTTTAAATCTCCACGTGCGCGTGGGTCAACATATTGTAACGACTGTGCTAACGACTTTTTCGTCAATAAAACAACAGTGAGATACTTTGAATATATATCATATCACGTAGATTGTTTCAAATCAGTGTTCTATTGCTCTGTATGTGATGGTGCTTGTTTTATTAATTATAATTTTAAGGATTTTTTTTGTATTTGCTATCTTGCCAAAAGACTTCTTATCTGAGAGCTTTAAGAATAGTAGCAGGGTTGGCTTTGATTTTATATTGCAGTAGCGTATGCCAGTTGCCGGGTGGTGCCATTGGAGATGATTCTGCTCTACTACCTTACTATAAAAATGTTATCCACTTATACCTAATATAAGTAACACTATTGTATTTTATACTGTATGACACCGCAATCAAAATGACAGTAACGATATTGAATTTGAAATAATGTATCTTTATTAATTTTATAAGTGACGACATGATTTTATGTGAATGTTGCTAAGTACTTCTGTTAAATGCTGATGAGTTTCTAATGCACAATTTTCTCATCAGCTAATAGATGTCTAGAAAAAATATTGGATAATTCAAAAGAGCTTTAACAATTGAGCTATTAACGGGATTGTTACCATGTACCTGTTTTTTATGAGTCTCCGATATTTAACAATCCCGTTAATAGCTATAATGTTAGTGACCATGAAAGTTTAAAACGAGCTATAACAAGTCAATTTGAATAAAGTAGGCTTAATTTTAACCCATATAGACCTACCGTACCTTATATGGTACAGTAACTTTCTTAAATAATTGCGTCGTACCTGAGGGTAGATTTGATTTTATTATTTATGCGAATGAACGAAGACTATATAAGGCTTTAGTTTATAATAGACAAAAACGTATTTAGTTTCAGTATTTTTAAGTTTTCATTGGGGTTTGTCGGAAAAACAATAGAAATAATCTACTATGGTTTCGAAAAGGTAAGTTCCACAATATTTATAATTGATTATATTATTTAGTAGTTTTTTTGTGAAGTTTAGAGTGTAAATAAATGTTTGAAGAACAAAAATGTTTTACAATTTATTTATATCAGATATATTTAATAAATCAATTAGGTGTACCATATGCGGTACAATAGGTTTATGCATAAGCAAAATAAACGGCAGCCATATGTTTTTAGATTTTTGTGTTTCATGGTTTTAGGTCATTGACGATTTACGATATTGCTTCAAATCTTGAGGAAGGTGATGGTTTTTACGACCAGGGTCAAGATATTGACATTTTTTACTGCCGCCTGATGACCTTTAGTCTTCATCAGTCTGGTCACCGCCAACGATGATCAGACTGATGAAGACTCTGGCAAAGAAGATGTCGGTAGACATAAACAATTTGCCTCCAAGTTTACTTCGAGCACCAGCAGTACCTACTGCTTTTAGAGAAGAATCGGACGAACCATGTGAATCTCAAGAACCCTTGTAAAAATGTGTAAAACCATATAATTGGAGAAAAAGAGGCTTATAATCTAAAGCCATTACTGAGCTACCAGTTTATCATTTTCCAATAGAAAGAAGTCCGATAGAATGGTTTACCTTGCTCTTTTCTGATGATGAGTTGCTGACGACAGAAAACAAATAAGTATTTAGAACAAAACTTCTTTCTGCTGATGTCAAGACGGAAAAAATGAAAGGTTTAATTGGAATTCTGTTAGTGGCTACTCAGCAGTCAAGTCAGCAGAAGAAATATGCTTAGAGAAAATAACAAAAAAAATTCTGTGTCTCAGCTACATCTCATTTACCAAAAAACAAAAACTGGGGGGGGGGGGGGGGGGCGCGAAAGTGCAGGCGATTAATATCGATACCCATGTCTTCCGTCTTCATTACAAATTGACGGTGATTGTTCTTCTGGTGTTTTCGCTGCTGATCACCTGGAGGCCGTTCTTCGGAGATCCTATGGAGTGTTACTTCCCAGACTTCCCTACCATGTCCCTGAACACCTACTGTTACATCCATTCCACGTTTCTTGTCGTTCCATTGGAGAAAAAGCCAGTGCCTCAAAAGTTACCATATCTTGGAGTTGCCGCGCAGACGGAGAAAGACACCGTAAAGTTCTACGACTACTACCAGTGGGTCTTCGTCGTATTGGTTGCACAAGCAGTACTCTTCTACTTGCCGCATTATATATGGAAAGTATGGGAAGGTGGACTAATGAAAATGTTAGCGGTGGACCTGTCATCTCCAATGATAAGCGCAGATCGCGTCAACAAAAATACGGACGTATTGTTAGAATATTTCCAAAAGCAGCTGCATTTGCACAACAGTTATGCCTTTAAATATTTTTCATGTGAACTGTTGAATTTGATAAACATCGTATTTCAAATATTATTTATGAATATGTTCCTTGGCAACGAGTTCCAATACTATGGACTTTATGTTTTAGCTGTCAACTGGAAGGAAAGACTTCGAGAAGAGATGACAAACCCTATGCAATGGCTGTTTCCTACTGTGACCAAGTGTACTTTTAAGAAATACGGTCCCTCTGGATCTGTAGAACTAAGAGACGGACTGTGCGTTCTTACACAGAATTCAGTTAATCAGAAAATGTATGTGTTTTTGTGGTTCTGGTTCCACATCTTAGCTGCTATAAGTGCATTCGTTATTATGTATCGTATATTTACATTAGTTTTTCCTTCAGTCAGATTGCGCAGCTTCCGGTCTACGTGCAGTCTGAATAGTGCTAGAGACATTAACGTAGTGTTTGACAAGCTATGGATAGGGGATTGGTTTTTGCTATGCATGTTGCAACGGAATATTAATTGTGTAGCCTACAAGGAGCTTATATTCCGTATAGCACGGAGTTGCGACTCCAACATTTGTTCAATATGTTTAGAAGGTATTTCCAGGCCTTGTGTAAAGTGTACGGAGGTATAATGTTTAGATTACTGCATTTACAGGATAAGCACTGTGAACGTCTGACTCAATTAAGTCTACACATGATATGTTTTATAAGCACAGTTTACAATTGGCTCCAAGCTATCACCTCAAAGCGTGCTTATATGTGATATTTGCTAGCGTTTATTATTTATATTATTATTTTTCATTTGTATGTGTTATCTATATACATATATATATATATATATAGATGTAAGCATGTATATCTCTCTCTGTCTACTATATCTCTCGTTGTTTGTAAAATTTGTTAACATACCAATAAACATGTGTTCAAGAAACTTTGTTTCATTGTTACGCCTCCAGCCTTATCACTTACCAACATGTACTCTCACGACATAGGAAACGCACCTGCATAAGAATTGCATTGTTAACGCACCGCTAGTGCTTATGTTATCTTTACAGTCATAAATAAAGACAGGGTTATCCTAACCATTACGAATACAGGATGCGACATTGGCTGATGTCCAACCAGCCAATGTGACAAAACTATATGAAGTTTCACGTCATTGATTGTATTTGTTCATTTCTCACGATTTACCTGTTGATTCAATTTTTGCTAACCGAGCCGCGGAGCGTCAACGTAAGAGGTCTTCCGCTAAAAGAGATGAGAACCGGCAGCGTGAAACCTCAGGTGTTGAGGGAGAAGCCGAGCCTCAGCGTAAAACATCGGTTGCTGACAAAGACGGCGGACCTGCTCAGTGTCGGACATCATCAAAGCAAGAGGCGGAGCGTCAGCGTGAAATATCAGCTGTAGAGCAACAAGTCGACGCTCAGCCCGGAACATCGGCTGATAAGCCAGAAGGTGAACGTCAGCGTAAAACATCGGACGTGAAGCGATATGCTGAGCCGCAGCGTAAAATATCAGAAGGTAAACATGTGGAGCAGCGTCAGCGTAAAATATCGGCTGTTAGGATGACCACACAGTTCGCTTTCATTGTCAAAGTGGTGCGCCGTGCTGTGAGCTGCTAAGCAGCGTAATCTTTAGTTATGTGCTAGTAGACATAGCAGTCGACAGGTTTTCAGTGTTTTCTCGTAGTGATAAGCACACTTAGTCTGGTTTATTAAGAAAAAAACTTTAGTTGAACCTCTGTAACGCTGAAGCTTTATTTGTCTTCGTTTTTTTGTCATATATGTATATATACATATATAATATTTGTAAACATGTATAGTATAGTATTTCAATAAACATATAAACACGCCATTTTGCCTTATTTCGATCTACTTGATCCTACGTCGATACAACTCATTACCAAAGCCGTAAATTCCCTGCCCCGAGGGAGGATTGGAACAACATAATTTACACATTGATGGAATAGTTGATAAGCTATTGTGCACTTAGCATGGTTTTGAATAATGTATACATCATCTTAAACGAAAACTCATTGAACGAATATTGACTATTATCATGTGCATAATTATAGGGTTTCGTAAAAAGTCACAGAGCGCGAACCATGCCTTTGTTAGAAAGAATATCTTAAGATCAACCGGCAGTAGCGGTGATAATACATGACGGCGGTCGACTCAATGAGCGCTGACTCTGAACACCATTGACGGCGTGCTCCACAGCACGAAGTGTCTTATCGCTGCAGCTCGTAGCGTGCCGGAGTCGCAGCAGTGGCACGGTGCTGAGTGCAAAAACTGTGCGCGTGCAATGCACGGATAGACCAACTAACCAGCCTCGAAGCCAAAGAGACTTGTTCCAAGCATACATTACGTTGGCTGCGCTATGTGCCGACTGCAATCTGCACTTCGTTTATTAATTGAATTATTAAAATATTTAGAAATAGATTCATCAAAAATTGGAGAACCTAAAAGGTAAAGGGAATTACTGTTAACTATTTTTATATTTGGAGCCAAAATATTAAATTTTTGTTTAACGTCATTTAAATTTAAGTCACAGTTATTTATAAAAAGTTCGCATTTGCTAAAATTAAGCTCCAAACCGATGGCTTCAAATTTGTTTTTGATTAAAAAAAGGTCCGAAAACACAGTATCCACATCACCTCCTAGGGTTCCGTCGTCCAAGTACCAAACGTTGAATTTAGAATTTAATTTAATTGTAAAATTAACATTTTTCCACAAGGAGCGAAACGAATACATCTACTTTGTTTTTAGGGAGGAATTCCCTGAAAGAAACTATTAAAACTTAAAACCATTTACTAATCGATCCGCTATCGATACCAATTAATACGATCTACAGATTCCTAACTAACAAACATGCCATTCCTATTACATCACAGATGCAAAAACCATTGTTCCATTTATATAACGCTGGTGAAAGTCAAGGCTACTCTGTATTATACAGCCTAAACAATTGATAAATTTATTATTTTTATATTTATATTGAATAATTGGTTGGCTGTATTAATTTAAGACCAATTCCATGTTTAACAAAGGTTATAAGTTATAGAAATGAAATTTATTTATAATTAAATAATCATGGACATGCGTTGCGATTCTGTGCTAACATGAACTATTTATGTGAAGGAAAGTTTAAAGTTCGGATTTCTGAACGCAATTTAAAGTGACATTGGGGTTGACATTCGAGGTTATCAACCCTTCTATTTGTTATTGTTTACAAGGATTTGCTCAGTGCTACAAAAAAAGGTGTTACAAGTATAAAGAAGATCCCTCTATGATTGAGGTTGTTTTTCATGTGCCACTTTTTAAATCTCCACGTGCGCGTGGGTCAACATATTGTAACGACTGTGCTAACGACTTTTTCGTCAATAAAACAACAGTGAGATACTTTGAATATATATCATATCACGTAGATTGTTTCAAATCAGTGTTCTATTGCTCTGTATGTGATGGTGCTTGTTTTATTAATTATAATTTTAAGGATTTTTTTTGTATTTGCTATCTTGCCAAAAGACTTCTTATCTGAGAGCTTTAAGAATAGTAGCAGGGTTGGCTTTGATTTTATATTGCAGTAGCGTATGCCAGTTGCCGGGTGGTGCCATTGGAGATGATTCTGCTCTACTACCTTACTATAAAAATGTTATCCACTTATACCTAATATAAGTAACACTATTGTATTTTATACTGTATGACACCGCAATCAAAATGACAGTAACGATATTGAATTTGAAATAATGTATCTTTATTAATTTTATAAGTGACGACATGATTTTATGTGAATGTTGCTAAGTACTTCTGTTAAATGCTGATGAGTTTCTAATGCACAATTTTCTCATCAGCTAATAGATGTCTAGAAAAAATATTGGATAATTCAAAAGAGCTTTAACAATTGAGCTATTAACGGGATTGTTACCATGTACCTGTTTTTTATGAGTCTCCGATATTTAACAATCCCGTTAATAGCTATAATGTTAGTGACCATGAAAGTTTAAAACGAGCTATAACAAGTCAATTTGAATAAAGTAGGCTTAATTTTAACCCATATAGACCTACCGTACCTTATATGGTACAGTAACTTTCTTAAATAATTGCGTCGTACCTGAGGGTAGATTTGATTTTATTATTTATGCGAATGAACGAAGACTATATAAGGCTTTAGTTTATAATAGACAAAAACGTATTTAGTTTCAGTATTTTTAAGTTTTCATTGGGGTTTGTCGGAAAAACAATAGAAATAATCTACTATGGTTTCGAAAAGGTAAGTTCCACAATATTTATAATTGATATATTATTTAGTTTTTTTTGTGAAGTTTAGAGTGTAAATAAATGTTTGAAGAACAAAAATGTTTTACAATTTATTTACATTAGATATATTTAATAAATCAATTAGGTGTACCATATGCGGTACAATAGGTTTATGCATAAGCAAAATAAACGGCAGCCATATGTTTTTAGATTTTTGTGTTTCATGGTTTTAGGTCATTGACGATTTACGATATTGCTTCAAATCTTGAGGAAGGTGATGGTTTTTACGACCAGGGTCAAGATATTGACATTTTTTACTGCCGCCTGATGACCTTTAGTCTTCATCAGTCTGGTCACCGCCAACGATGATCAGACTGATGAAGACTCTGGCAAAGAAGATGTCGGTAGACATAAACAATTTGCCTCCAAGTTTACTTCGAGCACCAGCAGTACCTACTGCTTTTAGAGAAGAATCGGACGAACCATGTGAGTCTCAAGAACCCTTGTAAAAATGTGTAAAACCATATAATTGGAGAAAAAGAGGCTTATAATCTAAAGTCATTACTGAGCTACCAGTTTATCATTTTCCAATAGAAAGAAGTCCGATAGAATGGTTTTCCTTGCTCTTTTCTGATGATGAGTTGCTGACGACAGAAAACAAATAAGTATTTAGAACAAAACTTCTTTCTGCTGATGTCAAGACGGAAAAAATGAAAGGTTTAATTGGAATTCTGTTAGTGGCTACTCAACAGTCAAGTCAGCAGAAGAAATATGCTTAGAGAAAACAACAAAAAAAAAATCTGTGTCTCAGCTACATCTCATTTACCAAAAAACAAAAACTGGGGGGGGGGGTAAATATATCAGATCAGAACATCTCTTCACTGCGAACCAGCATTCGAGGGAAAAATGTTACATGCCTCTGATTCTGCATTGCATTGATATATCTGTGCAAAATGCATGGTTGCTTTGCAGACATAATAGCAATCACATGGACTCGCTAAGCTATCAGTGTCGAATTGCAAGTGCACATATTGATGGCAATAATCATAACGAAAAACTAGGTCTGAGTCGACCATCTTCAATAACTTTTGAGTCGTGATATAAAGAGCACAACGTTGCTAAGCAAGAAAAGAGAACCAGATGTGGACAACGTCACCATCAATGTTCAACAAGGTGTGACAAGTGCAATATTGGTGGAGACATGGAATATTTTATTATTTACCATTCAAAAAATAAGTAAATATTTGTGTCGTAATATCAAGGTTTTTTGTATGCGTATAGTCCTACTGTACCATATATGGTACAGCCCCCCTGTGCCCCCCTTTTGTTATATATTTTTTTCTTTATTTTTATATTAGTTTTTAGGTTTTTTTTAGCAAGCTTTTGTATAAAAAGCAAAATTTTTGTACTAAAATAATTATCGGTCTATATGGGTTAATTTAATTTCATTTGTGTGCCTGAGTACCCAGACATTTTGACAATGTGACGATTTGCTAAATAGATGTTCTGCTATACAGCCTATTTGAGAATTGGACATTTTGTTAATTAGACTAACTGCGCATTAGGGTTCATCCATAAAGTACGTCACACGTAAAGGGGGGGGAGGGGGTCGACATAGTGTGACATGGTGTGACAAGGGGTGGGAGGGGTCCTAAGTTTCGTGACATCACATTTCAAAATCTAGAGGTACTAATTGCGGAATTTGAAATATTAATTAAACTAAAAAATATGTCCAACTCTATCTTTAAAGTTCATTCGCGTTAAGAAAATAGTGACTCATCACCGACTGCCGGCCAAGCCACGCCCCCTAGCCAATTAAAACGCTAGAAATTAGTAAGGCGAGTTCACAGTGCTCAGTTGAAGTCAGACCTTCGAACTGATCGGTTGTGTATTTTGCGTACTACTTGTTTAAAATTAAATTTGGAAAATGGATATCTCACCTATTAAAAAAAATAAAAGTGGATCAATTATACATAGCGGAGAGAGACGCGTAATTTACAATGTTTATAAATATTTCAAACAGATTGATTTAAATGAGACTGTGGAGAGCATAGTAATTAAAACTGCAAGTGCATGCGGTGTGTCCGAAAACACTGTTTATAAATTATAAAATTATAAAAGAACAAAAGAAACGAATACATTGAAATCACCTGTGAAAAAAAGAGCTCGACTATCCACGGTCGATAAATTAGATGAACTAGACAAATGTGCAATAAGGAGAAAAGTACACTCTATATATTTAAATAACGAGTATCCAACATTGGACAAAATAATAACACTTTGCGAAGCTGATGAAGATATTCCTGTTTTCAAACGTACAACACTTCACAAAATACTGCACGAGCTTGGTTTTGACTTCAATAAACAAGATAGTAGAAAATTGTTAGTGGAAAGAGAAGATATTGTTTTATGGAGGCGAAAATATTTAAGACAAATAAAAGAATATAGAAACGCTAATAAAACCATTTACTATCTCGACGAAACGTGGGTAAACGCCGGACACGTAAAAACAAAAGTGTGGTTGGATACAACAATCAAGAATAAAAGACAAGCTTTCCAAGATGGCTTATCAACCGGCCCAAAAGCTCCGACAGGGAAAGGGAAAAGGTTAATTATATTGCACATTGGCAGCGAAAAAGGATTCCTGGAAGATGGTTTACTAGTCTTTGAATCTAAATCTACAAAAGATTATCATGAAGAAATGGATGGTGAAAGATTCCTTAATTGGTTCAATGGTATAATACCGAAGCTTGAACCAGGAAGTGTGGTTGTCATGGATAACGCTCCCTACCATTCGGTAAAAGTTGAAAAAATACCCACGGCCAGTTGGAATAAGCAGCAAATACTAGAGTGGTTGCAAAACAAAGACATATCTATGGATATGAGTTATTTGAAAAAAGAATTATTATTGAAAGTCGCCGAAATCGCCCCACAATATAATAAATATTTAGTAGATGAGACTGCTAAAAACAATGGCATTACAATTCTTCGTCTGCCGCCTTACCATTGTAAATTAAATCCGATTGAAATGGTGTGGGCCCAAATAAAAAATTATATTGCTGCGAATAATACTACATTCAAAATGAGTGACGTAAAAAAAAAATTTTATGACGCAATCGCGTTAGTAGACGCCAATCGGTGGAAGAAATGCTGCGACCACGTGATACGCGAAGAAAATACCATGTGGGGTTTGGATGACGTCATGGAACATGCAGAACAAAATTCATTCGTAATAAATGTAACGGGAGAATCTAGCGATACTGATTAGCGATTTAAGTACTTAGTTTTAAGACAATTTTGTATTTTTTTATTTTAGTACTTATTACGATTAATCCAAATATGTGTTACTCTACTAATATAGCGTTTAAGTTGACATTAAAAATTACCTTAATAGGAATATTTTAACATGTTTAAAATCATTGATACTTTATTATTTTTCTATTAAACTTATTTAATGTTTTGAAAAAAAATGTTTAATTTTTTCTCCATTATGAATACACCCTTACCCTGCAGTTGCACTGATGAGTCACTATTTTCTTAACGCGAATGAACTATAGGGCAATACGGTTTAAATTGTTTTGTTGACAAGTTCATAGCCGCTTCTGACACGTGCCGATCGCCGACGAGCCCTTTGACTAATGCCGACAAACGCACCGCACCTCGCGTAGGTAATGTTTTTGTTTCTATATTTTCATTCGACAATTTGCTTTCGCTGAATGAACGACGTCGTTTTTTTAGTTGTGCTATTTTGTGGATATAAACATAGTTTAATAAATCAAGTTCAAAATGAACAAAAAGATAGATTTAGGTAATCTGTACTGTGGGCGAATGCACACTTCTTTTTGATATTGCTATACTTTGTCCATGATTTTGTATATTCTTTATGTTTGTTTATGATTTTGTTTTATGAAATATATTAGATGTTTCCTTTTGGCTGTCAAGGTTGTTTTTCTTTAATAATATAGAAAAATATATTATAAACCTGATCTAGTCACGGAAATGTACCGTAGATTATACGAAACATACAGTGCGACTTACGCTGATAAAAAAAAACAGCATATACAGGAAGAAGTTAATACCTTATGGAAAATTTTGAAAAGTAGTGACAATATCGAAGGTGATGTAGAATTGAAAATCAAAGAGCTGCAGATACAAATGACGAAAAAAAAAGCGACACTAATGATTTTTTTTTCGAAAATTCCTTCGGCGTCAACATCACGAATAAAACTAGAGCGGGAAAAGGAGGGAAAAGTACAAGTAAGTTATTACGAATTTAATTACAATCCTTAATTATCGCGCTCAGGAGTCAAAGATGGACGCGGACTTGAATCGCATCGCACGCGCCGCATTAGGTACTAATAATTATTTAAGACTAGCTTTCCGCTCGTAGTTTTGCCCGCGTGTACTACGATTATGTGTTTGTTTTTACACCTACGGTTTCATAGGACTTCATACAAGTAATTCTAATATGGTGCGGTTCAAGACCGCGGTATAAAAAGTAACGATATAATAATATTAATTGGAGTTTTATTACAATATAACACTAACGAAGGACGAAATACTAACGAAGGTCAGACACCACTACCAGAAGACACTGATATGGTTAATGTACCGTCAAGTGAAAGTCAGCTTCAAACAATACTTAAACCAACGCCTAGTCAGAGTGCTTCATGGAATAAAATTGTAGTTTTAAAATCTGAACTCAATAGCTTGTTGTTAGCACGCGATGCTGGTATAGCCTCAAATGAAGCAATAAAAAAAAATCTTAACTTTAAAGAAAAATATTCAGCAGGAAAAAAATATATTAAAGCGAAAGATTAGCGCAGTAGAAAGTCAGAAAAAAGTCGTGATTTTAAAAAACGAAAAATTGTAGAACTTTGCGAAAAAAATACCGATTTAGCCGCAGCACTAAAACTTCGAGATACTCTTGGTCGGCCTAGAATAGAAGAAACACAATCCGGTTTACTTGGAGTCATAAAGGACCTTGCAGTTTTTGGTGGCGCAGCTGATAATCGACGTCGCACTGAAGCTAAAAGGTGCTGTAAAACATTACACGACTAACAAGCCGAACTTTGTAAACTGGGATATACTATCAGTCGATCAGGGTTATACTTGAGACTTCTGCCCAGACGAGTCAATACAGAGGAAGGAAAAAGATATGTCGTAACTGTTCCTGTCAAACTATGCAAACCCGACTCTACGCTACATACGAAACATCAAGATGGTCCATTTTGTACTGCGACGATAAGAAACCTTGAATCGTTAGCTTCAATTTTGGGCCCTGAACAAGTTTTCTTTTTATCGATGGATGACAAAGCACGCGTGCCCTTAGGTATTACAGCAGCAAACGCTCAATGCACGCTGCAATAGAGACAGCATCCAAAAATAAGACAATTAATAGCGTAAATGAATGGAAAAACGTATTTAAAGCAGCCAGAAAGAAGAGAACTAAAACTATAACGAAAGGAGAGATAAAGGAAACAATAGAGATCGATAATTACAAAGTGAAAGAATTTAAATTTAATGAAATGTTGGACTTGAAGAATCTTGGCGTTGGGCTAATGAGAAACAAGAATAAAGATAAGATGAACGAAACTGTAAACTGGCTTAAAATAAAAAGGATGAAATACATAAAAGGAGATTTAAAAATATATTTTAACTATGACATGTCTGAAGACTATCGTACTATAGATGTTTGTAAGATGCCTGTGAACACATCTAAAACCAGAGCTAAAAGGAATTCAAATCCTCCCTCAGTCAACGTTCAATTGCCGGAAGAAATTGAGCTCTTGTACTCTTCTCAATTACCTATAAGTATCGCCAAAAAGAAAGATCTCCTTAATATGTGTGAAAAACAAATTATACCTGAAGAACTTCACGCTTGGATACGAGATATGAAAACATATACCAAACAACCAGCCTTCGAAAGTGACGAAGAGTGATTGGGACATGTTTTATTTAATATTAGTTTCTCAATAAAATACAAAAAATGTTTAATTTGATCTCTGTCTTTGGTGTAAAACCCAATAAGTCACTACTCCACGTTATTAATTTTCTATTAATATTAGAATGGTGTACAACGGACACTTTAAAATTGTTTTAGTAATCAGTTAAATATGTATACTTTCACCACAAATACGTATTGTAACGATATTTACAGGAATAGCATGGGTATATTTGTCATTAAACCTTAAATGTTGAATATCTCGAAAGTCAAAATTTCATACTTATTGGGTTGTAGCACTTTACCCTCGATATTGCATTTTACGGGTGATGTTCAGAGTCTTATTAAATTGAATTTAATGAACTTATTATATAAATATATACATATTTTGCTTATATAATAGTTCAATGATTGTAGATTAGTTTTATGAAAGTTTTTTATAGTAATTCTATTTAATTCAATATTTAAATACGAGGTAAACCTGCGTTATTTTTTGGGGAAACTCACGGAGGTTAGATGTTTTTTTAATAATTAATGAGATGGAAAATCAAGATTCTAATACATTACGTTGCAACAAAACATATTTCTGATGTAGTAGTAATTAATTTGATCTAATTTATTGAACATTATTGTGAGATTTAGGCGTTTTAAGTTGTGCATATTATCGTATTCTATCCCGCATAAAAAGACAAAAAAATCGTCTATGCGCATGCTCAGACGGGTGTTGTCTTTCTCTGCGAGAGAGAGAACGTCACTTTTCCAACCTCAAAACAGACAACAAACTTTAATTTTGGACGATAGTATGATAAAAAATAGTATGTTGGCCATGGGAACAAAGTAAGATATCTTTACCTGGGTATTTGCCACCCTGGTTCGGCTCGGGATGTAATTTTATACCCAGGTTAGAATATCATACATTGCTTCCCCCGTTAACAATGTACTATTTTTCCACGCCCGTATAGCAAATGCTAACTTACTGCACAGATTTGCGTTTGATAATTAAGTGCTTATCCATGGATCACCTGTACCATACCAACCTTGAACCAGTACAGTAAGCAGCATTTACCACACAGTTGTTTACTGGTGTAAAATAAAATATGGCTAATATAAGCTTCCTCTGAAGTTTAAAATCTTAATAAAAAAAAATGGGACTTTAGTCGTAAATAGTCTAGTGCAGGCTGGTGGCGCCTGCATAGGTAATCGATTATTTACGACAAAAATTCGTCCAACAATAAAGCATTAGATTGGACTATTATAGTATCTCTGTTTTCTGACAATGTACAATTTTAAATCACACATAATACTTATCTTTATGGATGAGCGAAAATTAATAGAGAGCTTCACCTCGGTCTCCTTTCCTTTGCTGAGATAAATCTATGCACTTTGACTTTTAAATGATTTCTTAAAATGATATGAATAGTGATGCACTTTTTAAATGAATCAGAAAATCGTAATTAATTTTTTTTTCAATATACATATAACTGCAATCCAATCCAATTAGATAAAATGGCTATTTATTCCAAGTCTATGAAGGACAACCCCCGGTTACCCTGTCGAATAGAGTTATGTTTACTTTTTTTCGAAGCCTGTACTGTACGTTTAATTTCCAATACTGTACATATTTGGAACTGTAAACACTCACTCGTTTAATTTCACACTGTCCCCTCTGACTCTTATAAACTGTACTTGATTGTGTCATGGTGGTCTAGGATAATAAACGAGAACTAGTAGTAAACAGTAACTAGTGTAGAGTAGTTAGTGTTTACAAGCACACTTAAATAAATAATTACACTGTACCGATTTTTTATAAATATTTCACATCACTAGTCGGCTGGTAGTTTAGTATATAACTGAATGCATTTTATGTTCCGATATTACTATATTGAATATTGTCTTTGTAGTTTGTAGTGCACTAACACCTCAGATTTTTGTAAGTTTGATTTCATTTTATAATTATTGCATTTAAGACTTTCTGTTGATAATTTTAAAGAACATTCTTTACTTCTCCGGTGAAAAATTTTCTTATATGATTGTATATGAGAAATTGGCCTTATATAGTTCCTATAAAAGTTACATATATGGTCATATATGTAGCATATATAATCGTATAGGATTCATATACAATCCATATACGATCATAGACGAAAATTCTTTCCCGGGTTCAGAAAAATATTGAACGAATTCTTATTGCATGCTCACGTTGAAAACCTTAACCATTTAATGTTTATTCTCTTATAAATCTGAAATTTATGTTTTTTAATACAAACTACAATATCAGACTACATATTCTACCTGAGTATTTGCTTTTGTTCTCTGTATGTACCTGGATTTGGTTAAATAAACTGGCCTTAATTTTTACTCAGGCATCTTTATATGCGAATTGAATGTCTCGTTTAAATATGTCTTTAAAAAAAATTGTAATTGGAGTTTTTTGTATGCGAATTGAATGTTTCATTTAAATATGTCTATTAAAAAATAATTATAATTGGAGTTACAAACTGAATTATAATAAAAAAAAATTCTCTTCACAGAAAAATGCCAAACACAGATACTATTGATTGGTTATCCGCAAAAATTTAATACCATAAAGCTAAATTAGTATTCAGTCAGACAGAACAAGAACAGGAGCCGATTAAAAAAATCATCGAAAAATGGCGTTTCATTTTAAGATGCGTTGTTGATAAAGAAGATTGTATACCCTTTCGAGCAATCGTTGCTTTAGAAACGTGGGCCAATAATGACATCTAAACATACCTAAAGAACTTTAGCTCATAATGGTGCCATGTGTTTTGAATTATGTGAATGTAAATCCCTGCCATCCCTGATCAACAACAGTTGAAATTTGACGTCAATTTGAGCTCAATTTTTATGTATTACAACATATTGAGTTCAAATTTATTTTTTTCGAAAACTTAGTGGTATTGTATATTATTTAAGTTGATAAAAATACGAAATTCGGATTTTCATATATTTTAATAAATTATGTATGGGCTTATAATTAGAATACCTAATAAAGATTTATAAAGCTTTGCAAAGTTATATCATTTTTATTTATACCTCCTAGAACAAGACTTGACAAGCTGACTATTTTAGAATAAAGAGAAAAAAGTAGTGTGTTTCACTCACACTTATATTTTGAAATCGTGTAAACTATTTTTTCTCCTATACTTGTTTTCTTAACAGTAGTTATTGAACGTTAACTTGATATATTTCAATGTCATTTGCGTTATCTAGACTTACATAAATATATATTCTTTACGAAATCACGAATTCAGCCAGTACATAATGAATGACTTTGACCTTTATGCAATTTCGAAGATTAACAAAGGACAGTTCAATGAGATTTAAAATAAAACTAATACATTGTAAAGATTTAAATGTTCAATAGCTGAATATTTATTATGTTTACAGTGTAATTAATCAATTTGTGCCAATGAATAGTGTGAAATTGCAAATTGAAATAAACCTCAAGTTTTTTTTTATCCAGAAAGTTTAAGTCAGCTCTAAAACAATGAGTATGTTTATGCGTAAAAATAAACCGAAGTTAGGCAGCGTTAACATCAGTTATAACATCGATTGGTTAAGGCGTTTATACGGACAAAATTTTCCTAACTTCGGTTGGTCTGCCAATTTGATTGAATTTTATTTTGTCCACTAGTCACGAAAGTCTAGATTATATATCTTATGATCTAAGTTACCTCCCTTGTAGCCATTAGAAAACAGACTGTCGTCAGACTTACGTATGTTGCTGTCTTTTGGTTTCCTAACGTAAGATCAACGTAACCCTAGTAGCCACGATCTGACATCAGAATCTGTCGACAGACTTACGTCCGTCTGTTTCCTATATGCGGCAGCATCTGACGTCTGACGTTGATCTGACATTGATCTTACGTTTGTCTGTGCCTAGGAAACCAAAAGACAGCAATATACGTAATTCTGCCGTCAGTCGTACGTTGATTTGACTACTAGGGATAAGATCAACTACTTATAAGATCAACGTCAGACATCTGTGCTGCTGCAGAAAAGAAGCAGACGTACGTAAGTCTGCCGACAATTCTGATGTCAGATCTTGGCTACTAGGGCTATTATTAAATTGGGCAGATAACGTTAATCAAGTCATGAGGTGCATGTCAAGAGTAGCCAAGACTTAAAATACTCAAGATACCTGTTGACACTTAGGCATTTATAAATATAGACTATTCTTTTATTTAAATATGACAAGTAACGTTCATCTTGTCTGTTTTACATTAAATGCACATTTAAGCATGACCCGGTACCTGATATTATTTATCATAATTATGCATAAATACATGTTAATTGTGCCCTTGAATAACAGCTGAGGTTATTTTCCAATGAAGATGGGTTTAAGATGTTAACTACCTGCTTATCAATAAGAATGGAATTCTGGTAAACACTTTTATGATATCACAATTGGTATTTAATTTTATTGCTGCAAAAAACTTTTGACTATTGGAAGTCTAGGTATGTAATGATAAGTATTCACTATATAAAACTACATAATTGACAATTCGAATATCAATATAAATCAAATTGGTTTTTTATTCAAATCAAAAAACACACAAATGATGACTTTAACGTATATTTTATAAGCTTCCATGATATAGAATAAAAATAACGAACAAATAACTGATATTGAAGCTTATATAAAGGTTTCATCATAAACTTTTGCTATTTATCAGCAATTAGTGCTATTTTTAAATGGAATAATAAGGCAATAGTTGCTACCTATGATGCCTAGCAACTACATATTCACCTAATTATTTTTAAATTCAATTGATTTGTTTACATACTCAATGCAGTAGGTAAAAGATAACATTATTATTTTGACTTATGATGAAAATTAATCTGTGTAAATGACTGCAATATACAGTGCTACAAGGCTTATTTGGCACGTGGCCGATTTCGGAACTAACGCCGCCATCTTGCAAAGCGTCACTTTTGACAGATAGCTGAAGTTGGTGTTTGTTGCGGTTTATTCGTGCTTATAATTTAATAAAAACCTTCTTAAATAATGCCAAATGTGATAAGGAGTGGTGTTAGAGAGGTGGTTTTAAAAGTGAAGGAGTATTTTATGAAAGAAAAGCAATCTAGTGCCCCGATTATTCCATTTGAAAGGGTAAATGAGCGTGTCTCAGCTGCAACAGGTAAGTGA